TTCTGCAGCTTCTGGCCTTCGGGGGGGCCCGGTGAGGTGAGGGCCCATGGGGCCGTCCCGAGAGCGGCTCGGGGGGCACGCGGGTCCCCGGGCAGGGGTCCCGGGGGAGCCGCGCCCGAACGTCGGACGGATCTCTGAGGAGGCTGGCCGGGCGTCTGCCCTCCCCTCCCCGTGCCGCAGGCCGTGGACGAGGGAGGGCGTTCGGCTCGTCGTTCCCTGCTCCGGGGAGGCGTCCTCCTCCTGCCGATGATGACTGCTCCTACTCCCTCCGGTGCACGTCATTCGTACAACCGCCTCCCTCGCCTCCCTCGCCTCCTCCTCCTCGTCCTCCTCCTCCTCCTCCTCCTCCTCCTCCTCCTCCTCCTCCTACTCCTCCTCCTACTCCTACTCCTACTCCTACTCCTACTCCTACTACGGCTACTCCTACTTCTTCGTCTGTACCCCCCGCCCCCCATTTGCCACGATGTAATCAAAGCGGCTGTCCCTCTCTTCCTGCATCTCCTTCTGCTGCTCCTCCTCCTCCGAGCACCACCGAGCCTCCATAGGCCCGCGCCACCACCGGGCTGCCACAGGCCCACTCAGTGCTTCGACCGGGCCTGTTCGGGAGTCTTCGCTGTGCCAGATCTTGGTGCACATCGCCGCCTGGCCCGGCCCAAAATACAGTCAACCCGCATTGTGAGGATGGGCAACCTTGCCAAAGGTACCCTTGGATTCTTGCCTCCTCCGTCCATCCTTCGCCACTCTTGTTGGCCGCGCCCCGCTCGAAAAGCTTCGAAATGGGCGTCCAAGGTCCTTGCATCCTTATCGCGCATCCTTCTGATACGGGCCGACCGTACGCAGCACCCCGCAGTTCGGATAAGTGCGCGAGGGCTGCGGCGGAGGCGAAAGCACCGTGCCCACGCATGGCCCCCCCATGCGCTGCCCCCGTGTACTGCCCCCAAGTATCGCCCCAGTGCAGCGCCCCCAAGTCCATCGCCCCCATGCACTGCGCCGGGAGGCATCGCCCCCCCCATCGACTGCTCCCGAGCAGTCCCGCCCCCAGAGACGGAGCCACTCATCCGGCCAAGCGCGCGCAGGGAAGCAGTAAGACCGGTCGGGCCGCCGAGGTCTGGTCCCAGAAGGGGTTTGCGGAGGCTTGGTGGTGGCGTGTGTGTCGATTTTCCTTCCACTCCCACCGTCCCCCCCATCCCTCCCTCGCCCTCCTTCTCTGCCGCCTGCCTGGGAGGGCCGCCATGGTGTGCCCAGTCGCCGCATACAGTTTCGACCTGCCTGGGCGGATTCGCGCTGCTGATCATAGTCCCTGTCGCAGAGGGGGGGGGGGGGGGGGGACTTGCGACGGTTACTCACGTGAAGTCGGCGGATCTTGGGAGGGATCGTCTGCGAGAGGAAGGCCCTCGCACACGCGCGTTCCAGTCCATTCCACTCCATTCCATTGCAGTTCCGTTCTACCTCCTGCATCCTCCTCCTCCCTCCCTCTTCCGTCCATCCCTCCATCCCTTCTACCTCCTCCCTCTCCCTCCCTCCTCCCTCCCAGACCCCCTCCCGCCCCCTCCTCCTCGGGAGGAGCAAAGGAGCACTTTCTCTGGGCGCCTCTCGAGATGCTCGAACTCATTGCTCGACGGGCCCTGGGAGCCTGACAGCCCGAATCGCAGGGAGTGCACCCGCTCCCGAGCGGTGAGCCGCGCCGAGCGCACCCTCTTCCCCAAACGCCTGCCTCCCCTTGTCCTCGTCGTCGAGCCCTTCTCCCTTTTCCTCCCAACCCTCCCCCTCCCTCCCTCCTCCCCCTCCCTGGTCCCCCTGCCTCCTCCCCCTCCCTCGCTCCGCCCCCTCCTCCCCTGGCCGTGTGAGAGGCCGTGTGAGAGGCCGGATGGTCATGGCCGGGTGCAGAAGCAAGAAACCACAGAGGGCACGCCAAATTATACACTAGCGTGCCAGGAGGTGTCCCACAGAAGCGCCTGATCCCGCGATGGCTTTGGGGGCCCACAGTTCCCCCAGGGCACCCTTGGACCCTCGATTATCGACGAAGAGTGTGCCCCAAGATGGCATGATGTATTTTCGTATGCATCTACTTTACCAGCCCGCCCCCTTCAGCATGGGGGAAGCGGGCCCTGAAAGAGACGGGACCTGGACCCTGGGGCCTTCCCCCAGGACGAGATCTTCCTCCTGAGTTTCCAGGGCCCGTGGAGGGCCCCGAGAGTAGCCCGAAAACGGCGAAGAGCCTCAGGATCCGTTTCCCTCAGGACCCGTTTCTCCCCGCCGCCCGGAGGATGGGACGGTCTCGGAGGAGACGGTCCCGGATCAGCGGGAGGAGGACGGTCCCGGAGGAGGAGGAGGAGGATCAGGAGGAGGAGGATCAGGAGGAGGAGGAGGAGGAGGAATAGGAGGAGGAGGGGAGGAGGAGGAGGAGGAGGAGGAGGAGGAGGAGGAGATGGTGTCCCGTCAGCTCCACCGCCCATGGATGGCACGGTCCGCGAGGAGGCCGCCCTCCCGGACCCGAGGC